CATTTTAATTGAATAAAATAATATTTACCCTGCTAATGGCTTCTGCAGCACTGCAGCAGCAACCTTGCAACTAGAGCAACAGCTTTGGACAATTACCGCTTCAAATCTGTGATTCATTCCGTGCCGGCACTCGCTTCGTGCGGCTTTATCCCTTACAATAATACCAACACACTGATGGAAGAGGAGTACCGTATCCCACAGGACAAGAGAGTCCACAGGACAGAATAGGAGAGGATACGTCCCTCGACAGAATAGGGACAGCAGGACTCCCACGACCGCAGGAGCCACTGTGCCAAGCGTCGACCGAAAAACCAAAAACCATACAAACCCGTGCTGTGGGTGGATGGGTGTGGCAGTGCCGTCCATCGTTTCACCGATAAAACGACGGATTAAACGCTAAAAGCAAGGATTTAATCTCTATAAATGTCATTCCACAGACACAACTTAAGCAGCGGCAAGCCCTGTGGCAGACATTGCAAGCTTTTGTTGCACGCGGGACTGTATACATTAGACAGCAAGAAGGGAAAAGAGCAAGGGACGGGTGGCAAGGAGCAGTGGCTGTGGCAGGTGCCGCCTCTTGGCTGTCAGCAAATTATATTTTGTATCTATGATAAAAATCATTTAATGACAAGACGCGCGGCGCCACAATTAAGGCATTTAATTTAAATGAGATTAATCATAATTACTAGACAACGCAACCAAAAGAGATAGAAGAGAGAGACAGGGTGGAGAAGGGAGAATGGAGAGAGGCGAAAAGGGAGGAGAGAATGTGGACAGACAGTGGACAAAGAGTGTGGGTAAGTGGGGGCCTTCTGTGGCAAGTGGCTTTTGATTCTTGACTTGTTTTTTTATGGCATTTTTTCCTCCTCTCTGGGCGTCTGTGGTATGGCATGGAACTGCCACTGGCACTGATTGACATTTCGCTGCTGCTGCTCTTGCTGCCGCTGCTGCTGCGGCCTGTGGCGACGCCTGCCTCATGTGTAAGCCCGCCTGCGGCACTTGATATTTGCTTCGAGAGTGCAGCCGAGAGTTAATTTAAACACGAAGCCACACAGCAAATTAACCTAATACCAGTGCGCTGCGGCTCTGGGTTTTTGCATTAAATGGAAGCGGCAATAGCAGGCAGGCAACATCAAGTGGCATGTGGCATGCCTTGTAGAGTACACGGGGAAACTGAGTACCGCAAGGTTTCTGAGAGTCCCCTAACCTCAAGACAGGGAAATAATTATGAGGCAATAGGTGTTGATTTGCAATATAAATTTACCCATGATGGAACAATTTAATTCTAGTAGAAGATTTTGATTAAGTACTGGAACTACTGAAATTAACAGAAAACAGTTAACAGAATCTATAGTGTCTAAAACCTCTTTGAAAATAATTAAAATAATTTGTAAATAAATATCCCGAAATTATAATTCTTTCCATGGTGGATAAAACAAGCGAGCTGCGTTAAGACTGTTTAAATATTTGTTAAATTAGCTCTTTGGTATGCCCACTGATTGCCATTCTACGAGTATGATGAGAAATGAGGTAACCATCAATAAACTTCTGATGAGTTAGGGTATGGCACATTCAACCTGTATTCAGGCTTTTGTTTCAGCAGCTCGTTGGCTTTTGCTGCTGCTACTGCTGTTGTCGTTTCAGTTGTTCCCCTGATGCTGCCCCGTGCAGCTGCTGTGAATGCAATTTATGAAAAATAATTTAAATATCAAAAGGCTTTCGTTTTAATTACGCGCAAGACAAAAGGCAAATTCCAAAACCAAAAAGGAAACGTCAGTTGTCAGTAAAGTGCGGGGTCGCACATCCAGTGCTCGCAGTTTTCGCAGTTCTCTGGCATCTCTCTTGCTGCTGTTGCTTCTTTAATGGCAGGCGACGACTACGACGACGCCGCCATTTCCATGCCCGTTGCGTTTAAATAATTAATTAAGATTGATGCAGACTCATTTGTCTTTTGCTGCGATGCCAAGGACGAGGCTCCTGCCTCTACCGCCCCCATCCAGGATGTGCTTTGCATTCTGCTATTCAATTTATGTTTTTGCTGCCGCCGCCGCCGCTTCTGCTGTTGCTGCTGCTGTTGGTGTTTTCCTTCTCCTCTGTATATCGAAAGATTTTGCATTAGTTTGCATTAAAATTTCACTTTGTTGTTGCCACCCCCCCACAAAAAGGAGGTAGCGCTGCCGCAGGAGCAGGAACAACAGCCCCCGCGCCATAAATTTCGCTCTTTTGGCCCACAGACAAAGTTGCATTTGGCTGTAATTACAATGTAATGCTCGGATCCGGACCATTGCACTTGCACTGGCGGGTGGGTGTGTGTGTGTGTGTGTGTGTGTGTGTGGGGCATGGCATTTTGCTTGGTAAGCATGCATGCAGAGGGAGAAAGAGAGAAGAGTCGCCTGTGCTGCCTGCCAAATCGGCGGATTACAATACAGAAATGGGTTTATAAACAAGCGGCGGCAGATCGGATCCGATGGAGATACTCGTAAAAAATAATTGCAATTGGCTGGAAACTCAATGGGAAACCCAACAACAGAAAGGGTATTTTTGGACAGTTGAAGCCCAACTGAAAGTGTATTTTCTTTTATGAAGAGTTGAAATATTCTACTAGAGTAAAAAGTGCCTCCAGGTAGAACCATTTATTTATTATATATTATATTACTTTATATATTATATTAATTCAAATAATAATATCAGTAAATGACTTAATTCTTTTGGTTTTCTAGTGGAAAAGATATTGAAAATGCATCTACCAATATATTTATTTAAACAATTTTTTACAATTTTTTACAGCATTTCATTGGGGGCTTTCGGTCTCCCTCTCCACTCGCTTTGTGAATATTGTTCTGGGGTCTCTGGATAATTGGCATGAAATCGCGTTGCACTTTTACATGCATTGTGCGTTATGGGCCGTGAGGACTAACTTCTTGATTATTTTTTCACGCCATGAATTTATTTATTCAAATAATCCCATTTGGTGTCCGGTGGCAGTGGCGTGTGGCAGTGGCATATCAAAATTTAAATTTAAATAATAATTAGTGGCGCGAAAATCGCTTTCGATGGTGGAAAATTGCCAAATAACCCACAAATAATGGCAAATAAAAACATAAAATTAAAAAACAAAAGCCCCCCTCACCACCCTGCTGCTCCAGTGTCTACTGTTACTAATGAAAACGAAATTAATTAATTTAAAACAACAATTGGCCGAATGGCATGGTCATTACGTGGCGTGGCAGACACACGTCGTATACGCAATTTGCAGTAGCCATAGCCTACAGCCAGTAACCTCTTACTCCTCTATAGATATCAGCATATATAGTAGATATGTATATATTGCCACCGATTGAATACGCCCACACTTTGAGACGTAGGGCCCCGAGCGGATGGGGGGGTCTGTCATGCATATGCAATTATTTCATAGCAGAGGAAAAACGATTCGCATGGCAAATGTTTGTCGCGTGTAAACAAGCTTTGAGAGAGAGCGCCACTCTAGCACCCACACACACACACACATCTCCTGGCCCCTACTCTGCTGCCACGCCCTATGGCTGCAACATCAGCTTATATTAAAAAACTGGCCAACAAATTGATATTTTGAGCAACGAATCTTACGATACCCTTGCAGGTTCTTTGTTTCTCTGGTAGAAAATACTAGAAAATCATCGAAAATTAAAAAGAAAACCTCGATAAAATTATTTTAAAAAATCATTGGTCTTTGAATTAAAATTATATAAATATTAGAAATTGATCAATACATACCAGAAGCATAAAACGATAAAATTAATACAACGTTTCTGACATTTTGGTTGAGCTTTCATCACAAAAACTGTATTCGTTCATTGATGTGAAACTTTTCTTTTAACTTTTCTTTCTCGGTTCCAAAAAGCTTGATATAATCATTATATCCACATTAAAATTATAGAGAAACCTCTAGCAAAAGTTGGGCAAACATAGCGTTGGAGCAGAGGCAAAAAAATTGTTGCATATTTTTTCGGGTGGCACCAGCACCCAGGCGATGCCATCGCGATGGCAGGTAAAAGACCAAAAGACCACGTACTTAGCCTGATTTACACGTTGCCATGGCAAGGCAGATTGGAGGAGGAGCTATCCAAAAAAGGGGCCATGAGAAGGAGGCATGAGCAGGAGTCAAATTTGCATCACAAATGTGTCTTTTTCAGGTTGCTTGACTTTGCATAACCCCTTTCTCTTCATTCTCTGTGTGTGGGATACACAGCTGAGTGGCACGGCGGCAGCGGGGGAGGCGGGGTGTGCAGAAGGGATGACTTCATTTCATATTTTTCTCGGGAAACATTTGCGTAACGATTTGCATTACAAAGAGTTGTACTTTTTGCCGTACCCGACCTCCCCCGCACGTGTATCTAATGGGAAGACTCTACACTGTCCGCCCCTCACTTGTTTTTTCCCTTATCAAGTTGACTAATTAACAAACATTTTGAAACTCAGCAGCCTCTCTGCCTGTTAAGAGCTTTGCTCTCCTTTCGGTTAAAAGGTTGTTCGGGGAATTCAGCTGCCAGACATAAATTTATCGAAGAAAAACATTTTATGATACAATTTTCTTATCATATTGCATTTCCAATCGATTCAGGCAATCCTTTGATTTATTTGGGTTTTAGGTTTCTGTTTGGATTGGTTTGTTGTTTACTAAATTTGTTTGGCATTTTTAAAATCAATTGCAAATACAAGCAGAACAAATCCTGGCAGAGCACTCATCAGGCAAACACAAACACCCACACACACCGTTCAGATTCTCAAATTCAAAATTCAAATTCAAAAAAAGACATTCAGAATGAAAATAAAGAAGATATTGTTGAACAAAGGCGGCTTGGACTTGAATGTGATTTATTGCAAAGCATATTGCATATTGATATTGCACAAATTGCAATCAAATTCGAATTCAATTCCGGAATGGTAACCAAAACCCAACAAATGAGCCCAGCCCAAAAAATAAGAGATACATAGATGAGCAACAAATTTTGTAAGCTTACCTTCGCACTTTGGGTGTTGTCTTTCAAGCAAATCTGTAAAGAGAAATATTCCTTTATTTTAATTGGTTTGGCTTAGGGAAAGTGGAATGAAATGAACATCCGAATAAATCGATGATCTTTATTCGAGTCTTAGGTAATTATGTTTGGCTTTGTAGTACAATATTACATAGGTTAAAAAAGCACTGAAATACGTAAGGACATGCTTTATTCATGTATTGATTGCTTCTTTCAGACACTGCTTCATTAATCCACTGCTTCATTAATCCACTGCTTGTCTAATCAGTCGCTGACTGTACTTCTAATTGCTATTCAAATTATTCAAATTAACATACACATATTTATGTAGAATGTACAAACATATGTACTTAGATATGTACAATGTACATATATGTACTCCTGTGTCTGTTATGTTTCCATTTCTGTCTGTCTACAGTCTCTAACTGTCCTCGCTTTGTCCCTCTGTCACTCTCTCTCTCTATCTGTGCCTCGTATTTATTCAGCACACACTCTCAACACACACATACACAGCCACACACACACACACACTTGAACACGCGTTTCATTTGTTTAGACGGTGTCCAATCGTCTATGCATCGAAATCGAATCGTATATTTTCCAACATGGCGTCGGATAGCTGAAAGTTTGCCAAAATTGCGCTGGACAGCGGCCCCACCTCCCACACGAAGGGTTAAGTGCTGGCAAGGAGGGGGCAAGTAGGGGGCAAGTAGGGGGACTGTTGCAAGTGGATCAATGAGTGGGAGCTTATCGTATGTATTACACAAATACTTTTGTATATTTTGTACGATTGCAAATTTGTATGTCATTTAAATGTCATCTGACCCCCAAAAAAATCCGGCACTCTCTTTATTTTTTGTTTTGTTTGTATTGAAGCGAGAGAGAAAGAGAGAGTGGGAGAGAGAGCGTGGTGAAGAGTGAAGTGGAAAGCAGTGGATTGTGTGTACAGGTGTTTGACATTCGGCATTCCAATTGCCTTTAACCTGCAAATTGACAATTCAAACACTTTAATGTTGATAGTCCGGTCGATTGTTGTACCAAAAATTACCGCTCATGTCAGTTCCAATTGTTTCTCACTCTTTTTTCTGTCTTTTTAGATGGGATTTTTCAATAAAAAATAAATGAAAAACGTTGTAGTACATGCATGCATGTTGCATTGTGCATTTTTCATTTGATGTATTACCTTTTTAATTGCCATAAAGCATTTTCATGTTGGTCAAAAGCCTGTCCTCAATCTTTGATACACCTTCCCATCCCCCAGCCCCTTTGGATGCGGTAGATACAATAGCTGCATAGATATCCATACACATATACATATGTATCTGTATGTTTATGCATTGTGAACATGCAAAACTAATGGCTGCTAAGGCCAGTTGTATGTGTAAAATGGAACCATCTCTAGAGAGCCATAAAGTTGAATGGAAGCCCCATAATGTTGTCATCGCAGTTGATTAACTTCATTAACATTAGTAATAGTGTGTGTCCAGTGTGCCCCCCCACCACCATAATCATATTAACTAATATTGATTGACTATTGACTCATCCATGCCACCAGTCCATGCCCACGCATCCGTAGCAGGCGGAAAAGTGGACCCATAGGCATGTAATTTTCATCTAACAATAAGTACGAATGTTTACAAGCAATAAAACTACTACATGCCACATGTTTGTTTGTGTGTGTGTGTGTGTGTGTGTGTGTGTGTGCAGCACTCATAATGATATATAGACCGCAAATGCGGCACACATTCACAGCAGAGGACATGGGGCCATGCCACAACCATGCACCACACAAAAGCTTTAATTGTTATTTTAATGATAAAAATGGAGACAAATTACATTTCCCCTGCCTCCACGAAAAATATGCCACTGGGAGGGGCGCTTCTGATGGGTGGAACCTTGCGGCAATAGCAATGCCAGAAGCAACAGCCATAAAAACTAATAACAAACAATAGCAACAGTTCATTACGGTTCCGACTGAATGTGCGCGGGGGGTTGGGGGAGGGACATTAGGCCCCATTTTGTCAGCCGAATGGAGTTGATTGGAGTGGTAGGTTCTGCTATCCTATATGTGTGTGTGGGGTCCCAGCTGCGAGGAGACAAACGTAAACGTTGTCTACCTACAAATCGGCTCATTCAGCAGATTTATCGGTTTGCATTAGTCGGGCAAAGAAAATCGATAAAGTGCGGGGGCCTGGGATTAATGGAGAGCACTGAAAGTAGGCAAGGGATAAGTGGAACACAGTTAAGGGATTGCTTAAAGCGGGCTCTTATTTGTAGAAGAGTAAAATATTGCGGAGAGTCCTCGAACTCTTATTTTGCACAGCGAAAAAGATAGATATTCTTTAAGTGGGAACAGTTTTAATAGGAACTGCTTAGCAGGAGGGACATTTAAAGTTGGAACAGTTTTAGTGGGAATAGTTGTGGTGGGATGAGAACAGTATGAAAACAAAAGAAAGCTCTTCTCTCCCTGGCGGCGTTCTAGGCCCGTAGGCGTGGCTCGGGGTTGCATGTCAACGAACCATTTGACAAAATCTAAATAGAATAGTTTAAGTTTTAATTGGCAGCGAAACTGAAAGTTCACGTTCTTGTTATATGCTAAATAAACAGCAAAAAGTCTCGCCCCAAAAATAGAATGCAACGCAAATAGGGAGGTAGGTTGCACCCTGAAGTTAAAAAGAACATCCCATCACATCTCTCTCATGATCCTTTCACTTTAAAAACCATGTAGTTCTCGTTCTCAGTCAGAGTCCAGAGGCCTCCGCCGGAAGAATCGTTGGCCATAAATTTGTTGGCCCAAATGGGAACGAGGTCTCCGGTTCCCGGTACCCGGTCCCCTGGCACTTACGAATTCATTTCAGTGGCGCACTTTATCACCGAAAAACTCACGATATGCGGGAGGATGGTTGGTTCCAGGGTTGGTGAAATAGGGAGGAAGGTTCCCGAAAAATTGAATAAAAATGCACTGCAGTGCAAGGAGAGGGAGGCAAAGGGGAGGCAAGGAATGCTGTAGAGAGCTACGTGCATTTCAAGTGCATATTTTGTTTGATAAATTGTTTGCCACGTTCCAAGTCGAAACAAAATGCGGAAGGGGGTACAGCTTACCCTACCGGCGGCTCCCAGGAATGGGCACCCGGGGAGACACAAATATGGCAGCGACTGAGGCAGAGGCACCAGCCTGGCAAAGTGTATAAACGTGCGGATTCTGGTGGGATCCGATCCGCCCCTCTGCTGCTTAGCTGCTATGCAAAGTAAAAGTCGGGCCCCGGAGGCGGTAAACAACCTGGCGACGACGACGAGACCGAGGACTACGAAATATGAAAGTGTTAAATGGCCAGGGGAAGCGGAGTCCTGTGGTGCTGCCTGGTGACTAGCCTTTTAGCCCCTAGCCCGTGCTGACTGTTGTTTTTTCACTGGTTCTGTTGCTGGTTCTGTTCTGTTGCTCCTGGATCCCTCGTAAGCCCACACACACACACACACACACACTCACACTGCCACCATGATTATATCTGGGTGTGTGTGTGTACGGGGGTGAGCTCATATGTATCTTTGACTGGTGTCTTTTGATATTTTGTTGACAGAATTAGGTCATTGCCTGAGAGCGCCCTCCCAGGCCCAGGGCCCTGCCGCAGATTAACATGCAAAGCAGTCTTTGGGGCAGGCAAAAACCAGCAGAAGAAACAAGTTACAACACAAGTAGAGGGACATTTCGACTTTACGGATACCCTGCTGGAAGAAATAAGAGCGCAATAATGACAAAAGAGAGACTTTCTTATGAGAATTTATAGCAAAAAGAATACTGCAGGCCCATAAACCTATCCCTTACCCCTGTTACTGATGGTAGATCCGCTGCTGAAGCTGAAGCTGACGCAGCCATTGCTGCTGAGCGCAAACACTGTACTGCTTTTTTTTTTATGAGAGATCTGCGTTTCTACTGCGTCTGTTCTTTGCCGCTGCGCTGCTTATAGGCGAACTCGCTCTCTCGCTCTCTGTGCTGCTTCGACTTCATGAACATGTCTGATCATGTCTTCGGTGCAGACTTTGCTTGGTGTGAATGCACGATTCGTTTCACCTGCTTCTCATCACCCGCCATAACTCATCTCGGCGGCAAACGCATACTGCATTAAGGGCCCCTCTCAGCAAAACATACCCTCATTGCCAAACGCTACTTGCTAAATTTACTCCCACACCGACTTCAAAACATACCCTAAAACTCAACATGTAACCAGGTACGGTAACATAAAAGGTCCCCAGTTTCAGAGCCATGGCAACAGCTGTCAAAAGCTTTTTGATGGGAAGAGGCGGCGGGGATTACATACATATTTACACACATACATACATATGTATGTATGTACATTTATTTAAAAAAATGTTTTTCATTAGCAATTCTTTTGTGTGGAGGACTCTGTCCATGAATGTTTTTGAATGTTGAAATGAATGTCCAACCAGAACAAACCTCAGAACAAATCTGTGTGGATCCATGAATTTTAATTGCGAAAACTCACTGGAGAACCTGCCCCTCATGACACACACACACACACACAGACATGGAAAAACCCCTCGAAAATTAGCCATAAACCACATGGGCCACAATTACTATATGGGCCAACCAAATATTTGGAGTGTCCTCTTGGCCACACATTCCCTGCTACGTCCACATGCGCCCCCCTGCTCTCTTCTCTTGATGGCAGATGTAAAAATATTGTGGCAAAAGTGTATGTTGTCAATTTGTGCTTGGGATTTTTCCTAAACAGCAAACCACCAGCAGATGAGCTGCTGATGCTACTGCTGTTGCTGCATATCAAAATATTTGTGGGTATGGAGATACTGTGACAGCTGTCCCTGTCCCTGCACCAGGGACAGGAGAGTGGCAAAACTTTATGAGGCTCTCTGGCCCAAACGGGAATTGGGTCAGACAGACAGGGCAGGAGGCGGGAGGCGGGAGGAATACGAGAGGCAAAAGGGTAACAGTAGCAGGGCGTCTGTTGCAGACTGAGGTTTTCTCCTTTTAATGAGACGCA